TAAGCCAGATTTCGTCACATGTGCAGGAATGCCTCCAAATCTTCTGTTTTTGCAGATGCACAAGAATTGGACACAGGAATCCCATGGTAGCCAAGCCCAGATCTCTCTGCTGATCATTTTCGTTGATTTCTTGGCTTTCGCATGATTGGATTGGACAACTTTTAACGATTTCCACACCGACAAACATTCAAAGTCCTCCTCTATCCGTATCAAAACGTGTTTAACGACTAAGTAATATATTTTGTAGGCGGTTTCTGGTTTACTCGATTTATTCGTGTGTCTTAAAATAAAATTCAATTTTGGATCTGACAGTCTCAAAGCTAAACCGGGTGGAGTCGTGGTACTGTGGGATTCTTACCGCACTAAACCTTCTCCCCTTCTTCGCCAGCATGCAGGACCAGTATCGCTATACTACTCTGCGATGCTGATTGTCTTTGCCTCTCTGACACTTCCCCTACATCATGTTAATGCTGGCCTCCACTGCCAATATCCTCGTAGGCCCTCTGCAGCCTCCGCTCGTCTTCTTCTTTGCTTAGTAGTACTTCTGATTTGTACGCCGCTACAATATCCCAGCTCTCCGCACTTTTCAACATTTCACTGATAATATTTTCTGGCTCTAGCAGAACTCCCAATTCTGCCTCCGCCTTGTGCTTCCTTCCAACCCATCTGCAGCATTTAAAGAGCTATCATCCTCCTCACAGTACCAGCATCTTTCATCCTCCTTCTTCGCGATGATGTGCAGGTACTTGCCAAGGCATCCATGGCCGGACAGCGCCTGGCTCAGGTGAAATGTTGTTTCACCGTGCTTTCTGCTTAACCAAGACTCTATTTGTGGGATTAGGCGCCGAGTCAAGGCTCCTTTCTCCGACCTGTGCCATTTATCTTACCATTTTTGCAGCAGTCTCAAACCGTCCCATCAGAGCTCGATGATGCGATCGACGATGAAATACAGCAGTATCTTGCTTCGCCATGCCAAATGTCGCTCTCAATAACTCGCTTCAAGGTTAAGGAAGTGGAGCTCATAATCCAGCGTGGGTTAAAAACAGGAAAGGCATCTGGTTACGATTTAAATACCACTGAGGTATTAAGGCAGGTGTACAACACTGGTATTGACTATGATTTTTAATTCAATTGGATGCTTCCCGAGGAAAACCGCTGAAATGCCTACCTCCTACAGACCCATCTGTCTCCTGCTGAAACTTTTTGAAAAATTACCGTTGCGAACAGCATGGTACTATGGAACAGGTACTTAGGGTAGTAGATGTGATTGGTAGAAGTTTGGAGGAGAAAACATTGCAAATTTTGCTCCACACGACAACCCGACAACTGCTCCAAGCAAGCTTGAATAACATCCAAGCTCAATAAATTGTGGATTAAAGCCAACGAGAACCAGTCTGTGCATGTGACTTTTACAATGCGCCGACAGAGGTACCCACCAGTTGCACCTGGAGGAACCACATAAAGTTGTACTAGCTACTTGGCAGAAATTCAGACATCTCAGTTGAAAATAAGATACTAATATATAAAATTATTATAAAACCCATTCGGACATACGGTCTTCAATTGATGTGATCTAGAGATTTCAATCAAAGACGTTGAGAATGTTCACCGGGCTACTGTGGTATATCACAAACGACGATATTCATTGCTTCACCGACACCAGACCAGTTAAGGAATATTCACCCAAACCCCATTGCTGGGTTTCAAGACCTATCAAATCGTTTTTAGAATAAGCAGTTCATGAGTGCGTATCTTGATTGTGAGTGTGCCTTCAAAGTGATTATGTTAAGGTTTGTTACTGGACCAATCCCTTGACTTCTTTTGTATTTTTTGTTTTAATTGTCACCAGTCCGGTTTATTATTTTATGTAAAATAGATAGCTGAATCCTTCTTGTACAAACAATTATATAATTTATAGTTGTCTTAATAAATAATGGTATTTTTAATATTTGCATTTAATGATATCACTTAATATTGAATGGACATTTACATTATTCATTATAATTCCACACGTAAATAGAATCATTTGTGTTTCACAAAATGCGTTCGGGACGTTGAATGATTTTAATTGAAACAATCAATTAATATTAATTTTTAGGGTGGCAAGACCTTGCTTGATAAAATAAAATAAATATTAATTTGTAGAACAATATTTCTCGTAGATATCCTCAAGGCTTTGCATAATTAAGCAATCAAATTCTGAGATTATATGAAGTTGTATTTATTAATATTTGTAGATTCCGTGATATTTAGAAACGGGATATATAAACCATATGTTTTTTAATGCTATGTCTATGGGCGGATCTTTTTTTTTTGGTATCAGAATCATTATGGCCAGTTTTCATAACTGTGGGATGATTCTCCTTCTTACAGTTTCGTTCGACTTGGATTTCATGTTAAGGTTCATTGAGTATGAGATTAAATCTGGTCCTGTTGTCGATGAGTGTTCGATCGATTTCTTTGGCTGCCATTTCTCGGACAGTCCTTGATTAACAGACCCCATCAAGTACGCATCATCATTTTGGCCATTGTGCCTCATACAATAAGTTGATGCTTTTGACCATAGCAGTTTTTTAAACAAAAACAGCCATCTATACGTGAAAACGGGTATTTCTGGGACTACCTTTATATGTAGATAGCATAAAAATGTAAATATTATATTAGAAGTTGAAACCTTTAAAAGGAATCACTGCTGAAACGAAACAGTGGTACTGTGTTATCTTTTTATACTAAAACCACTCCGCTTTCAACCAAGTATTTAGTACCTAGGGTTTCTCATGCTGGGTTGTCCTCGTTCCGAGGTAGCTCCGCTATTATTCGACCGTATCCACGAATACCATCACTTTTGTAACTTTCTTCTTAAGTCACTGCATCGCTCTCTCGATTCCCAATTCCTCTTCTGTATCTCTCTTTCATCATTTTTCTTGGTAGTAATGATGAATTTGATATATTCTGTTACTATATCCCATTTCTCCTGGCTTCCCGGAATGATTTTCTCCGGTTCCGGTTCTAGAGTTTCTCCAGATTAGCATATGTTTCATATTTTCAAGATGCTCTCTGCTAGCACTTGCTGATGGTGTGCTCGTCCTCTTCCTAGCAGGACCAACGATTTCGGATAAAATGAAGGTACGCTCAGAGCAGCCATGTCCTGACATTGCCTGCATCATGTGGAACGTTCTCTCCATGTTTTTCTCTACCCACTGCTACACATTTATAATTATTCTTCGTCTACAAAAAAATTGAAATGTGTTTGGTGATCCAAGTACAGTAATCCATTTGGAATATATAGTCCACAACTTTGGAGAGATTACAATGCTGTTATTTACCGACAATATGAAGATAAGTGTAACGTGTTAAAATAGACAACGCTGCAACTACGCTTAAGGGTGCGACTATGCTTCTAAAATTCGTTGAGACCGTAGCGAACCGCGAAGGAAGACGGTTAAGGTCTCCAATTGAGAAGAAGATTGATATATATATTTGTGTGCTCCAATGACTGTGTTGATACTCTAGGGGAGCCAAGGCCCACCGTCGGGAGAAGAAGTGTGCTGATCTGAGAAAGCAGTTATAAGAGTTCTTCCTCTCGATAAAAGGAAGTGGCGCCACTAACCATCTCACGTCAGGAACTCACGCCCAAGCCAGCTTGAAGATTTGTTTATTGTGTATTTTCGTACATGAAGGGCCGTCGTGTTACACATGTTTAACCATATGTATGTAGTGGTTAAAAATTCTTGATTTAAATCAAGCGTATAAATTTTTTTTTTAATCTTAATTGTGTTTTTTCTTAAATTAATTGAAATCTACAGTGAAATCTTGCTTAACTATTTTAATCCGTTCAAAAATTTACGGATTTTTACTCGTATAGTGAAACATATCAAAAATACATATAATATGTGTACAAAAGTTTTAAAAATGATGTAGCAGCCGCGCAATCCGGGACTTTTCTTCTCATCGTCACTCGTTATGCGAAACGTCGCTCGTTAAGCAAGTCATTTTTCTTACAATTCATTTTGCTCATTAAGTGAAATTCTGTTTATACCAAAATTATAACATAATAAAATTATTATTATACAAGTTATAAGATTCTCGAATAATATATGTCGAATCGTCAGGATTACTCCCCGAGTGAGGCGTTTGGAGAAGCCATTATTACAAATAACCACTAACAATAGTTAATAAACTTAGTAAAACTTATCCTTCTGCAATCTCAGAGCTAGTGATCTACATCAGCGATAAGTCTCAGCTACTGTGGCCTTCCAGCTTACCAGTCTGAATCTCAATCTTTAATGTGAATCAATCCATTCCCGCTTATCCTTCGGCTGACGTATTCCACTCCCACTCCTCCGGGGGAAATACCCTTCTTCTCTGAAGACCCCGAAGATGTGCTGCCCCGATCATGCACACGTGTCCGTTCTTGTTCTCCCAAGTGCTGACAACGTTATTTGGCAGAACTGTTGTTTACACGCTCCAGCGTGGAAACAATGACTCTTTGTATCTCTACCACGTGTGGACTACGATGTTTGGTCAGGTGCTGTTGTCTTAGATACTCCGACATATACATAGAGATTATATAATTTAGTCTTAGTTAGCCTTAGTAATAATCCCTGAGATCAACTATTGTATAGTTAACTTCTCAATAAAAACTCAGACGTGTATAATAAAGTTAATTAAGAATATTGCATTTAATATTCATAAACCCTTCTAAGACTCCACAACGACATAACACGACAGGAGATCAAAGCCAGTAATACATCCAGAACCCAACTCTTACTGTTCTCTGTGGCCACAATCCCCGAAAATCAAAGAAATTACCTTCCTTGCCACGTCACAACACAAACCTTGGCTTGACAACACAAAGAGATGTGCATATTTGCATATTTTTATCCTTCGATATACATGTTTTGTTTGTCATCTTTTAATAGATTGTCTCGAATACTGGAAATTGGAATTTACAAAAATAAAACTGAACTTGCAATGGTTTATTGTATAAATAAAACAAGTAACCAAAAAATATAATTTATTTTCTTATTTACATATATTTAATTTTAAATATATAGAAACTTGTACAAATTCAAACGTTTGTGCCGTGTAACGCCGTCTTTTAAATAAATGTGTTTAATATAGTTGTGTACAACTGTTATTATCAAATATCTCTTGAATTATATCGGAACGCATGCAAATTCGTATTATTTTCATTAGTACTTGGAACTGTTTTATATTAATACCGTTTTTGCATCGAACATCATCGATTATTTGGTGATAATTCTCATATAGTTTCCTTATATTTTTGATATTATTATTATTTATTTTAACATAGTCGTACAGCGATTCCATAAAAGCATCAAATTCGATAGAAATCGAATCTTCGTCTTCGTGCTCACAGTTAGCAGTTAAGCATTCAACTATTTTATCGCCGATTTCATGCTGAACTTTTCGACATCCATTTTGTTCTACCTATAAATTGAATTGATTTATTATATAATTACGATAAATGGACTTACTTCGAACGAAGACGCAAAGAGCGTTATAAAAACTATCAAGGCAATATTCATATTGTTGGTGTATTTACTAAAATGAAAATAAATATACTGGTAACTTGTTATTTTACACATTTAATAAAATCTTATCTAATCAATGTTCATTATATACTAGATAAATATTTTTACTTTTCCATTAGTTTTAATAGAAATGTTTGCATATTTATTTTGTATCCAAGTTGTAAATATTATATTGAGGTTAATCAAATAATACAATGAGAAACAAATTAAAAAGGTACATTAAAAAAATAAAATCAAGAATATGCTAAAAATTGGTTTTTTGTTTGCGGTGTACTTTTTAAGAGCTATGTTATTTTACATATCATTTAAATTTTAGGTTCATCTTTCGTTCTAGTCTACAGTGGCCAGATTGTCCCTATTTTTAGTTAGTCTAGTCCCGGTATCATGACATGTATATTTAGTAAATGACACCCTACTCTAGCAAATATTTTCTAATTCATTTGAGTAAATCACTTCTCGATTTTCAATATTTATTTCAATACAAAATAAAACCTTAATGTAAAATAAAAAGTCAACTCCTGCAAAAGATTTCACAATTGATCTATGTAATTCATAATTTTCAAAAAGTTATGTGTCACCACTCATATGCGTGCCATAGGTTTGCAAATACTGGTATAAAAGGATAAAGGTACTAATTTGTAACAACGTTCCTTTTGTACAGACTGGGACTGAAGCAAAGTTTTATTTATGACTTCCTACACAATGTAATATTTTTGCCTTTTTACGCTTTCGGTACATTTAATATAATTATACATTTTGAGATTGTGTATGATATGGTAGTATACATTAATTGAAATGTGACACGATGACATCTATTTTTCAAATAATGAACTCAAACCAATTAAATTACTGTTGGCGTATTCGTAAAGTGTAGAAAAATTTAATGAAAGCATTACAGCATTTACATAAAATCAAGTACTTCTTCATTACAAGAAGCTTTTCCGTTACTATGGAGAGCTTTGCTTCGTTTGAAGTTTAGTATATTTTTGGGTTATGAATCATGACTCATAGTAAGCATAAGTCTAGTGGATGTAGAGAATATTGTGTCAGCAGCGCCATAAGAACCAGTGACATTGAAATGTGACATGGTGACATCTATTTTTCAAATAATGAACGCAAACCAATAAAACATATATACTGAATAAATTACTGTATCAATCATAAGATCCGGCATGACTTATGCGTC